GATCAGCCTGTCCAAAACTTAGTAGAATTCAAAGAGATTGAACGTCAGTTAGTTCTAAGCATAACAAAAGGTCAATTAAGGAATGTATTTTCTTAAAATGTAACGAAAACTGGCTTCTCCTTTGAAGAGAGGAATATTTAACAAAACAGTGGGAACTATAACTCATATTTTTAGAATTAACTCTCTGACTTGCAAAGATGCAGTTGAGCTCAGTTACTAATGGTTTCATTTATGTAGTTTCCTTGGCAGAGTGGGAGTGGTTTGCTGCTTTGTGATTTATTTTTTTTAAAAAAATGCCTAGCTGAAAACACTGGTATTGGTTCCTAATCCAAGTAGTATCCAGAGGCAAGCCAAGTTAGTGAATACTTACTGCTACCTATTGAAGTCATCATATATATCCAGGGCTGTTACTATTAATAAGTTACAGTACTAGTGAACCATATATAGTACTACCTTATAATATTTTTCACTATCTCTAAACAGTATACATGCATAGAACATGTATAGAACAAGCAGTAATTTAAGAGATATTGATTTGGTGTTAGAATCAGTAATATCTGATGCCTAAAATGTTATTTGTAACATACAACTTATGTAAACATTAATAATTCAAATTACAAAAGCCACTGCCCAATTAATCTAATATAGTGCTTCTCAAAAGTTTTGTTCCTTCAATGGTCATGCTGATCGGCAGTCACCAGGACTGTCATCTTACTAGACTGGGGAAGATAATCTAAATGATCAATTCTGCAACGCTAATTGGTGATTACCAAGCTGTAATCTTACTAGACTGGGGAAAATATTCTAAAAATGATCAATTCTGCACCGATAATCAATAGTATAAAACATTGTTTATTTATTTATTTATTATTTATTTATTAATTATATTTCTACCCCGCCCTTCTCCCTGCGGACTCAGGGCGGCTTACAACCATTCAAAAACAAATACACAAATACAAAAATGCCAAACTTAACATGTTAATTAAAATGTTAATTTAGGCAATGCATGGAACTATACATGCCCTTGAAGACCACCCATAAGCTACAACTGGTCTAGAATGCAGAAGCTGTGATAGGCACTCCTAGATTCACCCAAGTTACACCCCTGTTGCAAGAGCTGCACTGGTTCCCAGTTCCCTTCCAGGTGCAATTCAAAGTGCTGGTTAAACTTTGAAATCCTGCCCAGCGTGGGATCAGGTTATTCGTCTCTTCCTGAGAGTTTCTGCCTAATAGGATAGGCATGCTCCAGGTTCCTCCCCTGAAATACTGCCATTTAATGAGACTATGTCCTTTTCATAGGTGTCTCTACCTTGTGGAAACCTGTCTCCTAGGCGATCCAGCAGACTCCACCGTTTTAGCCTTTCAGAAGGCTTATTCAGGCACTGGAATAGAGTGAAGGGAACTTATAGATCACTGTTGGGGCACCTTAGGGGATGACTGAGGCACCATTTTTTTTAGTTTTTTATGGTTTTTAGATTTATTATTGTCATGAGTCGTCCAGTTGTGCTCTAAGATGAATGGCCATGCACATCTTTTAAATAAAATCAATCAGATTGGCCAATGCTATTTAAGCCTATTTATGCAGCAGTATTCAAATTGCCCATCAATGAAAATGAATGTATAAGTGAAGCGTCAAAACAGATGAAGTGGAACTGTCATGACCAATCTTATGATAGACTATCACAGAATATAATGTATAATAAAATATAATAAAGATTACTTCATGTTCTTTTTAAAGTGCTGCCTTTCATGTTTACCATTACATATCCAAGAAGAAATGTCAAGTCAGCTCTGAAGTTGCCAGGAAAGAGCTATCTCAGGTTTACGATTATGGCAAACTACCTCAAAGAATTTCTGAAGACATTTTCCTTTTCTTGCCTTCACACATTTGAATCCGCTACTACTCACCATAATTTTACCAACAATAGATGAAACAAATATGTCAGTATCCCATTCAGCCTTCTCATTCAAGAATATCTCTTGGTTTTGTCTCAAACTTTTTCGGAGACCAAATGGTATTTCTTCAATACGAGAAAACCACTGAACAACTGCATGTTTCTCCTGAGTATCTGGGGTAGAAAAAAAATATTACTTACCAAGACCCCTTGGAGATTTTTGAAACATACATTTCTTTGGTTTCATTAAATGTCAGTGCAAGCAAGAGTGTCTGCCTTTTGCCATCAACTATTGCTAAAATGGTATATTTCATTCAAGCCAATAGTGCTAGACAGATATAAGTAGTCCTCAACTTACGGCCACAATTGAAACTAGAATTTCTGCCAAGTGATGCAGTTGAACAGCATCATTAACTAAGAATCGTGGATCATTAAAAAAGTACTGACCCCAACCCAAACCATTCTAGCTTTGGTCTCATCCAGTCCTGAGCCTTGATAAGGGACGGCCATCTCTTCAACTCCCCCCCCCCATCTGTCTACCTGCCCCTCACCTCTCCACTTTTAGCTGTCCTGTACCCTACCTTGCAGGACAGCAAGCAGCTCCTGAACCCCTGTGCTCCAAGGCTGGTAGCCATGTTGCAGCTCTGGGCTGCAAGAAGCTTGGAACTGCAGTGCAGGGTGAAGCCTCAGCTGCCCAGCAACGTAGCACAAAGGGGTTTCTGGGTATGCCACAGTCCTGGAGATGCAGGAAGCCCCTGAGCTCCAGCGCAGCTCCAGCATTGTGGTCCTAAGCTGAAACTGCTCCAGTTATCCTCACCACTCTGCACCCCGAGGTCTACCCTGAGGCTCTTTGTGACACCATCTTCCTCAGGTCCCTTGAGAAAACTGCCATGCACAACCTTGTGAAAGAAGCCACGTTTGTTAAGCTAACCTATGGTCGTTAAGCAAATGTCATGGTCAATAACCAGCCCCATTGTCTGGGTTTTTGTTTTTTACCAGAAACCAGAAATAAGCGTCATTTTCCAACAAAATTCATCATAAATGTGGTCCAAAATGTAATCATGTGATTGGGGGGGGGGCATGCAGCTATTGGAACTTTGAATCTGGGTAGTAAGTACTTTTATTTCGGTCCCTTGTTACTTCAAAAGGTCATCAAGCGACTCATCATAAGTTATGGACTATCTGTAATTGCAGCAAAGACAGCTATACCCTAGAAATGTAAACAAACTACTATTCCAAATTTAGATCTTTGGCATTTCAATAAGGAATAGACTTATTAGAAAAACTCATGGATATAACACATGAAATGTTGGAATTTAGGCATAGCAATTCATTTATCCTACTTGGAAAAACTTTATTCAGTTTACTAAAAATTCAAAACTGTTTAAGAGACATGTGTCATCAGTGATATGGTTTTTGTAATATGTGGAAGAAAGATCATTTCAAAATGCAGTATTTAAAGAGGAAGCCTTAAATCATCCATTTTAGTAGTTGTATGCTTATATAGTCTGTGTATATTAGTTAATTTCCTACAGTTTTTAGGCATTTTAAACCAATAGTTAATGATGTAATATTATATCTATTATATCTATCTATCTACCTAATCTATAATAAAAAATTTTTAAAAATTTACTGTGTAGCATTACATAGAATTTTTAAAAGATCAACATTTTAGTATCCTATATTTTAGAATTTTACATACTTAACAGTTCAGTAATTTAGTTACTAAGTATTGTATTGAAGATTTTCTGTAGCACTTTAATATCTTTTATATTCATTAATATTATAGATTAATCTTATATTTTACGTTAATCATAGTTGTTGAGAAAATGTTTTTGTATCCTCATGAGTTCTGCAACTTCTTATTAAAATATGTATTTAATGACATTATGTTTTAATTTTACTTTAGTTTCTTAGTATCATATATTACTTTTTGACAATCTTTTATAAATATTCAACAAAACAAATTTATCTTAGTACTGGAAAACTGATATACAGGAAAGAAACCAAAAAAACTTACCATCTTCATATAGCTTTAAGAGTCTTGCCACAAAAAGTTGATCACGTTCTTCTTCTTCTATTAAAATAAATTCTCCAGGAAAAATACAGATGTCACTGATATCTTTTTCACATTTAATAGATATTCCCCTAAAAATTGATAAATATTTTTTTTAGAGTCATTGGATGCCATTCCTCATCTTTCTATCCACTATCTGTATGCTCAGTTATCAGCACTATTACATTATTATGCATTTTCTGAGAACTACAGTATACATTTTGCTTTATAAGAAGTAACATAAACAGACTGACACACCTATAATGAGCGATCTGCAATTGTCTGTCTGTAGATATAGCCTTGCCAATCCATGAACAGATGCGTTTCCTCTGACTTTTTATGTTTATGGTATCTGTAAAAAGACACGAAAGATCAGATTGTATAATATACATCATATGAGCAAAAGAGGAAAAGTCCTGGAACATCTCGTTGCTATGGCATTGCTCAATCCTCAGCTTCTGTGTTATTCTACCCCCCCCCCTTTTCTAAACATAAGAGAGAATTATTTAAGAGACCCTAGGGCAGGGGTAGGCAACCTTGGCTCTTTTATGACTCGTGGACTTCAACTCCCAGAATTCCTGAGCCAGCATGGCTGGCTCAGGAATTCTGGGAGTTGAAGTCCACGAGTCATAAAAGAGCCAAGGTTGCCTACCCCTGCCCTAGGGTGAAGATCAATCTGCCACTCAGCTTCAATACGATCCTGCTGTCCTTAGAAATCTAACAATCACGTCGTTCAACAAAAATCCCCTTACGTGGCAACGATTTCCTCCACGAGGGGCTGCAATTCATTCTTTCAAGCCCGACGAAACTAGACAGGAAAAAAAAAACACGTCAATCTGAGGCTCAGCGCGGCGACAACTTTCCCTCTTCCTCCTGCGAGATGAAACTTCGCGCCAAAGCCCTGTCGCTCCGCCCCGGAAGAGAAATTTGGGCGTCCTTATAGACGCCATGTTTGTTTCTGGCTGTGGAAAAAAAACCCCTCAATTCTTATATCCGCAGGGGAAAAGAGAGGCCGGCGGAAGTGTCACCCCCCTGTCCCTTCCTCTCTCCGGAAGTGAACCCGGAGCGGAAGTCAAAATGGAGGGGGCGAGCGGTGCCGCTCTGTAGGCCGCTTTCTCATTCCCCCCCCCTTCTCTTTTTCTCTTCTGGAAACGCTCCGCTTTGTAGGGCTTTGTAGCTTACTAGGGCCATGGCAAACCGGACGGTAAAAGACGCGCACAGCATCCACGGCACTAACCCACAATATCTGGTGGAGAAGATCATTCGCACTCGCATCTACGAGTCCAAGTACTGGAAGGAAGAATGCTTCGGACTCACAGGTGCGGTTTAGCGAAGCGGGCAGTTGGACCCGAAGCAACGGGAGCGGATCGGGGATCAGCGGACTGGGGTGGGGTGGGAGACCGTTGGGGCTTTCGGGAGATCGGTAGCTTTGGAGTCGGTAGATAAATGTTCCGACTCCGACTCCTCCGTTTTTTGTACCTCCGACTCCCCGACTCCGACTCCTCTGTATTATTAATATGCGAATGTATTTTATACCAGGGGTAGTCAACCTTGGCTCTTTTATGACTCGTGGACTTCAACTCCCAGAATTCCTGAGCCAGCTGTGCTGGCTCAGGAATTCTGGGAGTTGAAGTCCACGAGTCATAAAAGAGCCAAGGTTGACTACCCCTGTTTTATACATTCCTTGAAGGAAAGAAAGGCAACATACATGTCATTACCTCAGGACTACTGGCTGGGAAGCCAACAGTCTACTGTGTTGAACAGTTTAAGCAAAAGACAAACACAATGAAAACGACAAAGTTTTATTAAAATTTTTTTATTAATTTAATTAATCAAGTGGCTGGATAGTAGCAGCAGGCAAAAACATCAGGAACAGGAACTTTTACCAGTTCAAAAATACAAACCACATTATTTGGTTGTTTTAGAACAAAAACAAAGCTTATCTATATGAACCAAAAACAAAATCTGTAAAACCTAAAAATGGTTTATATTAATCTTGAAATGTAGTTATAGGCTTAGCAAATGCAAATCAATTCAGTGTAGAGTTCTAAGGAAGAGAATTGTGTGAGGCACTGCATGCATTGGTCTTTATTCTTACAGTAGAGAAGTCATTAATTATAACTTTTTGTGAATTGGGACATTTAAACTTGCTTTTTTTTTTTTTATTCCAATCTAAATTTAGTAGGAGTCGGAGTCGGTGCATTGTTTGCCGACTCCGACTCCAGGTACCCAAAATTTACTCCAACTCCTTGACTCCGACTCCGACTCCACAGCCCTGAGCGAGAGGAGATTTGGGGAGTTGGAAATGAAATTAAACGGTTTAATATTTACCCGTTTTAATCAAGGGCAGTGGTCTCCTCCTTCCAGGAGCCAATTGACTAGGAATTTAAACTACATTCAGATCTAAGGTGACTATTAAATGAAGTTTTGGGGAATGAGCAGATATTTTCAAAATCACAATGATACATCTGGAAGGAGTTACCGTATATAGATTTCTTGAGTCCAACTTCCTTGCTTAGTGCAGGAATCCAAATCAAAATATCTTTTTTTAACAAGTATCTGCCCTCAGTCTGCGCATACAGGGTGCAGGGAAATCCATCACTAACGATGTGTAAAATTGCCATTTTAGGGAGAAAATCTTGGAATGTCCCAAATGGTGTTAATTAAATTTTTATGCTGCCCATCTCCCATATAAGGAGACTCTTATAAGCCTATCTTAGCGTCTTTCTTGAGTACCACAAGATGTAATTCATCTGGACCTGAAGAATTTAACTCAAAGACCTTATCCATGTGTTAATCTTAAATTTCAGTTCTTTTCAATCCCTGATGGAACACATAACTTCTCAGAGCTGACTGAAACAGAAGCTGAATAATTCTTCCTTTACTTTCATTACTGAGTAGCTAGTGTATTATTTTCTGATTTTGAATACCTCTGAAAAGTTTTTCCTTCATTCTTAACTTCAATTCAGTTTGATCTTCAGTCTTTTGGAGCCATTTCTCAAATTTTGGCCACATGTATTTCCTCTTCCTTGGATACTTTTCTCTGTTTCCTATATATATACTTTTTTTTTTACCAGATTCACATTGCCTTCTGTTGAATTTCCCTCTCCCCCCCTTTGTTTGCAATTTTATTTTTAATATCTCCTTTTTAGGAAATATTACCCATATTCAGCGTTTTTCTTATTAGTTTTTCTTACCATTAATCAGATTTGTAATTTTTGCAGAGTTTACTAAAATCTACTTTTTTCAAGTGTAAGATACATATTCAATATATTCAGTTTCTGATCCTTTAACAATAAGAACATCATATTACATGGTCATTTTCTTCCCATAGTCCTGCTACTTTTATTTCCCTGAGATGTTTCCTGTTCTTTAGTATCAGATCAAGGATAGCTGATCCTGTGGTACCTTTCTTCATCCTCTGAAGGAAAAAAAAGTTACTATATTAACGGAGCATCCCAACAAATAGTGATTAATCATAACTGGAAAGTCTGTTTTATAGGGGAATAGAATCCTAAGCAATACTCCTGTCCTCCTGGCACTGTAATTAAAAGAAGCTGTGAAACTGTCTTTTGCTCCCCTTACATTAGGGGTGTCAAACTGCCAGCCCGCAGGACGGTTGCATCATGCAGAGGCTGCACTGTGCCCACCCAGCTCCGGCAATGCGAAAAGTCGCAATACATCACGACACGTCACGTGATGCGGCGAGTTTGACACCTGTGCCTTACATCTTCTTTTGTAAAGCATAGGAAGGTTACAAATGAAAAATAATATCTGATTCTTATAAAATTACATGGCAGCTACATTGTGATTATATACAGGTAAGTCTCGAATAGTGCAGTTAATAAATCCCATGAAATGGTTGCAGTATTTGAATTTGCACTATTCAAAGTGATTTTTCTATGGAAAATGTGGTAATTCATTCCAACTCAACGGAAATAGGCCATGAAAATTTTTAAACATAATTTTTATATATAGATTAATGAACCTCAGCCGCAACTGTGCATGCACTAGCCTCAATTGCAGTTGCTGCTAGCCTCATATGAACTGAATTTTGGGTCCATTAAAAGCAGCCTGGTTTCAATTTACAATTCACATTATTCAAACTCTTACTAGTTGTGACCTACTTGTAATACGCTCCATAATTCTTGTGTCTTCTGATAAATTTGATCTAAATGGTTACTAGAACTGTCTCATTAAAAATGAAACAACAGATACATGGATTTAATATTAAAACCTGATGGAATTGTCATGATTTTTTTTATAGCTGAATTGGTTGTAGATAAAGCTATGGAACTGAGATACACTGGTGGAGTTTATGGTGGAAATATAAAGCCTACACCATTCTTGTGCTTGACTCTGAAGATGCTGCAGATTCAGCCTGAAAAAGACATTATTGTTGAATTTATAAAGAATGAAGACTTCAAGTAAGAGAAAAAAATAATATGGAGGTGTAATTTAAAGCAATTAAACTTTTTAGTACAAATAGTAGTTCTTGTTCATGGTTTTGCATATCTGTGTTTGATAAATATAAATCAGATTTTGTTCTCCGTGGTATAAGGTTTTGGGTATCAATCATGTTTATTTCCTACTTCATATCCACCCATCACTTTTTGCAAGTGTAAATGTACATATTAGGCCATTGCCCAACCATTTGTTTAGCAATTGCTGCTAATCCCATCAGATAGCCTGTTCTTAAATCTTCCTCTGCTGTAAATTTTGTAATTGTTCTCAGAGGTATAATTGAAATTGAAAGTCATTTTCAACAAAAGCAAAGACTTGTACAGTGTTTTTACATGCGCACGTGCGCACACACAATTGCTGCATGGAGTGGAAAGGAAGTAAGGAAGCGGCATGGACTACCTATAAGCATAAATCAAGCAATTTGGTATAACGTGGACATTTTTGAATTAACATCTGTAATGAAATGACTCAGTAGCGAATTCAAATTCTATTATAGGATATTTGTATCCTCAGCTAATGGTATTGGAAAAAGGAATTCTAAATTAATGTTTTGCTTTTGCCTATTTTAGATATGTGAGATTACTAGGTGCATTATATATGAGACTGACTGGGACTGCCATAGACTGCTACAAATACCTTGAACCTTTATACAATGATTATCGAAAAATAAAAAGCCAAAATAGAAATGGAGGTAAGTGGTATAACTTTATTCAATCGTTTATAAAGCCCATTATCTAACAGATTTGAATGTGTAAGTAGCACATATAGACTAAATTGTATATCCATCTGATTGTCTTAAATGATGCTATATTCTTGTTTCATATTAAATGTTTGCCTTTGGACCACTCTGGATAGTAGTAATCTTACTAAACAGGAAGAGGCAAGAAATACATACCATCCAATAACTTACTGTACATCCTGCTTTTGTATGTAGAAAATCATATAAAACATACCTTTTGTGTTTTCTGCAATTTTATCTTAGCTTATTAAGAATGTTACTCTTTTTAAATACAATCTTTTCCCCCCCAGAGTTTGAGCTCATGCACGTTGATGAGTTTATTGATCAACTGCTTCATGACGAGCGTGTCTGTGATATCATTTTACCTAGACTACAGGTATATAATCAATTACATTATAAGGAAATTATAAATCAAACGTCGAATAATAAAAAGATTAGATTTCTATATATACAGTGCATGATGAAATCTTTCCCTTTTGAAGTATTGTCTGCATTTAAAATGTTCTTTTTAGAAAAGATATGTTCTAGAAGAAGCTGAACAGCTGGAAACACGGATCAGTGCTTTGGAAGAGGATATGGATGATGTAGAGTCTAGTGAGGATGAGGAAGAAGAGGATGAAAAGGTTTGAATCTGTCAAGTTTTTATTTTGGCATTGAAGTCCTCTTAATATAGCATATGCTGGCTTCATAGTACAAAAATGTCGCATCCTTATTTTTTGAGAGAACATTGTGATATAGTGCTTACTATATCAGCCGTGGTGGCGCAGTGGTTAGAATGCAGTACTGCAGGCTATTTCTGCTGACTGCCAACTGCCAACAGTTTGGCAGTTCAATTGTCACCGCTTCAAGGTTGACTCAGCCTTCCATCCTTCTGAGGTCGGTAAAAATGAGGACCCAGATTGTTGGGGGCAATATGCTGACTCTGTAAATTGCTTAGAGAGGGCTATGAAGCACTATATAAGTCTAAGTGCTATTGCTATTAGTTACCTACTTCCAAGGTGACATGCATACCTACCCTTTAGGCCTTCTGAAAAAGCCTGAAGACCTGACTCTGCCAACTGGCCTGGGGCCCCAAAGGGGGCATATCATTCTGGAGTTGGACTAAGGCCCCACCTCTTCCCTGTGTGTTCCTCCTTCTTCTTTGTCAATTTTAATTCAAATGTAATATTACTATTTATTCTTTTAATCTTTTATATTGGGATTTTTTGTTGTAAGTCACCAGGAATCACCTTTAGCAAGATGGGTGGCATATATGTTCAATAAATAAAATAAATAACATTGAGCCTGCGTGTGGAAACAATTTGAACAAATGTTTGATAGCTTTTGAAATGTCACATTGTTTACTATAGAAAGTTTTATTTACATGTTTTCAGCTGGATAGAGCCCCTTCCCCTGATCACAGAAGAAGAGGATATAGGGATTTAGACAAACCTCGTAGATCTCCAACACTGCGCTACAGAAGAAGTCGAAGTAGATCTCCTAGAAGGTAGCTTTGGGATCTTTCAACAATTGCTAACCAGCATAATATGCTAAAAGTATTGTAGTAAATAACTGTTTATCCCCACTCCTTCCTATCTAGGCGAAGCCGATCTCCAAAGAGGAGAAGGTAACTATGTAAGATATTTGAATTGATCTTTAAAAGAAATATTGTAAGCTTATGACTAACAGAGTACTTCTTAACAGTCCTTCGCCACGGCGGGAAAGACATCGCAGCAAGAGCCCAAGGAGGCACCGAAGTAGATCTAGAGAAAGACGCCACAGATCAAGATCTAAATCTCCAGGTATTTACACTTTAGAGAAAGGCAGTTGTGGATGGTTCCTTTGACTTTTAAGAATTTTTAAAATATTTTCTATATTAACATGAACTATGTGACTGTATCAATACAGTTAAAAGCTTCATCCCCTCTTCACCATGCTGTAATATGGTATCAAAGGACTATATTAAGTACGGGTCTTCCTCAACTTACAACCACAATTGAACCCAAATTTCTGTTGCTAAGTGAGACATTGGTTAAATGAGTTTTGTCCCATTTTACGACCTTTCTTGCCACCGTTGTTAAACAAATCTCTGCAGTTAAGTTAGTAACACGGTTGTTAAGTGAATTTGGCTTTCCCATTGACTTTGCTTGTCAGAAGATTGCAAAAGGTGATCACATGAACCCGGGACACTGTAACCCTCATGAGTCAGTTGCCAAGCATCTGAATTTTGATCACATGACCTTGGGGATGCTGCAACAGTCCTAAGTGTGAAAAATGGTCATAAGCCACTTTTTCAGTGTTGTTGTAATTTTGAATGGTCACTAAATGAACCATTGCAAGTCAAAGACTACCTGTTTGAGCAGAATCAATGTCAAAATTTTTGTACCTTATCTCAACAGGGCACCATCGTAGCCACAGACATCGTAGTCATTCCAAGTCTCCAGAAAGGTATGTATTTCATCTTTTGCTACTTCATAGTTCATAAAAGTTTTGTACTAGATTCGTCTCACAGAAATAATCTGTCTTTATCTTTGAGCTATATGTTCATGTATGTGAACAGAGGTGTTTGGACCAATGATTAGATACTATCTTATTGTGCAAACTTGAATTTTAACTTCTCGTGTGATTTTCACTTGAACTCAAATTAACTGAATACTGAAATTTTTTTAATTCTTCTTTCAGATCTAAAAAGAGCCATAAGAAAAGTCGTCGGGGAAATGAATAACCTTTACCTGTTTCATGAATTAGAAGCTTTTTGTTTGTTTATTTGGTAGAGGAGTTCACTTGATAGATAGATGCTCCTCTAGCAGCTCAATTTTTTTTTTTGCATTCAGAGTTTCTTGGGCAGTATAAGCCTTGCTAAAGTTCAAAGTGAGCATATACATAGTGGATTCATCCCTATAGCCCTGTATGCACCAGCCTTAGTCTGTCTCCTTACATTTCTGAACTCATTTGGTTTAATTACAGATTTTTAAAAAAATCTCTATATTTATGAATTATAATCAAGACAGTTCTTCTCACACTCAAAATTCATAGCTCTTCCCTTCAGATTTTCTAGGCAACATTAAGGTTGTAATATGTAGTCACAGGGTCACTGAGGATAATCTACTCTAGGGGATCCAACTTAGCAACTTTTAAGAATTGTGGACTTCAAGTCCCAGAATTCCCTAGCCAGCATGTCCACAGATCTTATAAGTTGCAAAGTTTGGACACCCCTGGTCTAGTCCATCTTTTCCCATTTTGAATTCTTTATTCATTGCCCTGTTTGATATCTTTAACTAAAATGGACATCCTTTCAATGTATTTTCTGATCACCTCTGTTTTTTTACAACAATTGTAAATGTGAAGCAGGAAGAAAGTTTGTCTTGTAATTTCTTTATTAAAAAAAATTGGTACACAAGTATGTCTCTTTTTTAAAAATTCTTTTTTCTTGGAATGACTTATTCAGGACTGATTTAAATTACAAATACTTGTAAAATGAAGGTAATTGTTCTGAACATAATCACTGTTAATACATAATAAACAGGAGAGTGCAAATATTTGATTCAGTTCAAAAACAGTCCAATTGCGTTACTGAAATCAAATTAGAGATCTGTGAAAGTTTCAACTTTTGTGTATGTACAAGTTTTTCCAAGTTGATTTGGATTTATTTCTAATCTGAATTGCAAATCTGATTCAAACCAATTTGAACTGTGCTTGACATGTCTATTCCTAGAATAGCAATACTTATGACACAGCTACACATATTTATTAAAATGGGAATACCACTCAGTTGGGATTATTTTCCAATGAGTGGGAATAAGATTGCAGGCTTGAAAATATGGGCAAGTTTAGTGTTATATTTTTCACTAAGTTACTAAAAGTATTTGAACATAATTTCAATGCCTGGAGTTTGCTTGAGATACCATGTATATTTAATTCAATAGAGCATCAAGATTTTCATGCTGGTACATTTAGGTATACTTCCATAAATCAGTCCAAGACTTAAGGTGGTACTACCATTCCAGAAATGCTTGATTTAATGAAAATGGCCCTGTTTTGTTCTTCACTTGCTTCTTTGAGTAACAGGCAACTGACATATATCAGACATGTAGAGCTATGTACCAGAAGTTACATGAAGGAAGGATAAGTCTGAATGTGTGTGCTGTCACAAATAGAGTTCAATGAGTTAAAATGGCAACACTTCACAGGCATACGAGGCTTCTTTGTTAATGTTTATGTTGCAAATACCCTTAGGTAGACATCCAAATCCCCAATATTTCTATATCCAAAATGCTAAAATTGATGCTGCTGCCCAACCCTTTTTATCTTTTTTTTTTTAAAAAAAGTACTGCCATTTAGCATTCAATCCCTAATATGAAAGAAAATGTGGCTATGATTTAGGATTTTCCAATTTTTATTTCCTTTTTAAAAAGTTTTTTGGCACTACATTGTTCAGTAAAGAAATGAGTCTTTAACACATGAATTCCTTCTAATTTCTTTTTTAGAATAGATATAAAGTCTGAACCAAAGTATGAATAAAGCTAATAGAAAATAAACAACTTAATTTTAAAAACTCTCTTTACAGTTTATCAAGATAAAATAAAACACAGTTCCCTTAAAAACAGGGTAATAAAATAGATGACATTTGTATCACTAATTCCTGTGATACTAGTAAAAACTATATTTTATATTTATGTACAAATTATACACTTAAAAAGTTTTAAATAATCTTTTTATCTAAACCTGTTGCAATAACATTTTATTCCAACCTGATTTCTTCCCATCCCCTTAATTAAACTTCATTTCTTCTGCTGAATAAAATTCACGTTCAAGTGTGGATGTCCTTGAGACAGAAGTGAAAACCGCTGGTTCTGCATCAATAGGCCCGCTAAAAGAAAATTGGTTATATTTATTGCAGTATATACTAAATAAATTCATTTTATGTATCATGTACATTGAAAATGGAGTCTAAAAATGCTTGGAAGTGCTGCTGCAGAAAGGCAATGAATGGTTCAAAAGGAAAAAACAACACAATTTGTGGATTAGACTTATAAAAATCAGCTTCAATTTGAATTATTTAAATATCTACTTTGAATGATCAATCCCTTAATATATACAGTGCATTCAGGAAGTATTCAGACCACCTTTGCTTTTGTCAATTTTGTTATGCTGCAGCCTGATTCTACAGTTGTTGAAATTCTTTTTTTTCTCATTAATCTACAATCAGTACCCCATAATGATAACGTGAAAACAGAATTTTTAGCAATGTCTATAAATTTATTAAAAAAACAACTGAAATATCACATTGGCATAAGTGTTCAGACCCTTTGCAACAGCACTTGAAATTTAGCTCAGGTGCATCCCATTTCTCTTGATCATTGCTGACATGTTCCTACATCTTGATTGGAGTCCACCTGTGGTAAATTAAATTGATTGGACATGATTTGGAAAGGCACACACTTCTCTATAGAAGGCCTCACAGCGGACAATGCATACTATAGCAGAGCAAAAGCCATGAGGTCAAAGGAACTGCCTGCAGAGCTCAAGAGACAGGATTATTGCAAGGCACAGATCCGGAGAAGACTACAATAAAATTTCTGCTGCACTGAAGGTTCTTAAGAGCACAGTGGCCTACATAATTCTCAAATGGAAGACATTTGGCACAACCAGGATTCTTCCAAGAGCTGGTTCTTCCAAGAGCTGGTCAAACTGAGCAATCGGGGGAGAAGGGCCTTAGTAAGAGAGGTGACCAAGAACCTGACGGTCACTGACTGAGCTCCAGAGATCCTGTGCAGAGATGGGACAGAGTTCTAGGAGGACAACCATTACTGCAGCCCTCCACCAATATGAGCTTTATGGAAGAGTGGCTAGACGGAAGCCTCTCCTCAGTGCAAAACACATGAAAGCCTGATTGGAGTTTGCAAAAAAAAACACCAAACACCTAAAGGACTCTCAAACTGTGAGGAACAAGATTCTCGCGTCAGAGGAAACCAAGATTGAACTGTTTGGCCTCAATTCTAAATGTTATGTCTGGAGGAAACCAGGCACCGCTCATCACCTGCCCAATATCATCCCAACAGTAAAGCATGTGGCAACACTATGCTGTAGGGGTGTTTTTCAGCAGCAGGGATTGGGAGACTGATCAAGGTTGAGGAAAAATTGAATGTAGCAATGTACAGGGATATCCTCAATGAAAACCTGTTCCACAGCATTCAGGACCTCAGACTGGGCTGAAGGTTCACTTTCCAACACGATAACAATCCTAAGACAACACAGGAGTGGCTTAGAGACAACTCTTTGAATGTCCTAGAGTGGCCCAACCAGAGGCCTGACTTGAACCCTATTGAACATCTCTGAAGGGACCTGAAAATGGCTGTGCACCAACAGTCGCCATCCAACAGTCGCCAGGCCCCCACAGGCACTCTTGATGTGAACGATGTAGAGCTGACCATGCCCACCCAGTAGGCCATGGCCACTCAATAGGCCGCACCCACCTTGGCCACACCCACCCGGCCCCCCGAGGGCAACCGCAATGCTGATGTGGCCCTCAATGAAATTGAGTTTGACACCCCTGCTCTAGCATAACAAAATAGACAAAAGTGAAGGGAATCTGAATACTTCCTGAATGCACTGTACATAAACCAATAAAAGAGATTATATGTAAGCTTGGGGTTGAACTGTGAAATCCTTGGTGCCTCTGAGCTTGATTGATTGTTTCAAATGTTTCATTACCTAGTTAGATAATAAAATTTTCCCAAGCAAACAATACATAAGCCAGAAACCATGCATGTTTCTCTGGTGTATGGAATACTTGCGGCGGTAAAGTAGCTTAATTCCATATAAAACACAGATTTTATTTAAATATAAGTAAAAATTAATGTAGCAAGTTAACAAAGAGGCGTGTCATATTGATTCATCTACATATTCCAAAAGTTTACTGTATGAAAAGTTCTGCATATCACAGATTGGTTACATGTGAATACGGACCCCCAAAAGCCACGCTTTTATTTCGGAATATATTATTAAGGACTGCAGCCACAAAGGAACAAAAGGTATCAAAGCTGTATCACATCGTTAAAAATGTCCTTATCCTACCTTGAGGATAGAAAGGTTTGTTCAATGGGTAACTGGCATTTCCCTGCTGCATGTAGTTTGGAGATATACTGTAAGGCCACGTCCCTCGAAGGACAGGAAAACGGGTAGTAGCTCCATGGTCCCAAGGAATAGGTGGAGGTGGATTTCCTTTACCAAATTGCCCTTGGAAGCCCTGGTCTGATTTTCATTAAAAAAAGAAAAGAGAGGAAACATGGTAGATGAAATTGATAGCTTGCAATACGCCAGCAAACAATAGCACTTACTCTTTGAAATCTAATATTTAGTATAAACATCGATATGGTGAATCAGATTGGATATATTATGTACTTATCGATAACTGGTATTGTTTTAAATCAAACCATCATCCCAGCTAAAACATTTGCAATATCCCAAATTGAGGAAGACTGACGAGAAGAAACAACAGGAATTTTCAAATGTTAAAAGAAATATGATTAATATAGTTATGGATAATTGTTATGGTAAAAGAATACTAAAATAGCTGCTTGTTTACATAAAAAAACTACTTTATTGTTTAAAAAAGTCATAAATTTTACATCAAGGAAATTATAGATAACATTAAGCTGTGGATGTTTTGAGGAACGATGGGCTTGATGCAAAAATTCTGAATAAAAAAATTAAGCCATTGTTGCTGGTTTACAGTATCTCATATATGCAGACAACAGGTAGATTCTATAGCAACTCTTACATATTTCTTTTCTTCAACAACACCTTAGGCAAAGTGCAGAGCAATCCTGCAAGTTAAAATTCCTTTGTACGTTTTGGAGTCGAATTAACCGTTTTGTTCAAAAATGAATGAAAAATATAAATCAAACCAAGCCACTAAAAAGCAATTATTAAACACTGTGATGCAAAAAAACAGAAAGACATGTTCTGAAAATACAGAACAGTTGACAGGTAGTCCTTGACATCCAGTCAGGAAGAGATTTATGGTTGTGGTACCCACGTGATTATCAGATTTTACAACATTTTTTGCAGTGGTCGCTAAGCAAATCATTGTGGTTGATTCAGTGAACCTTTAGTTATTAAATAAAAGCTGCAGTTTTAAGTGTAAATCAGAATCCTGCAGAAAATACAGCAAATCATGTGACCATAGGATGCTGCAACCAGCCATAAAAGCGATCAAGCTGCCAAATGTCCAGGATGCAGTCACATGACTATGGAGAGTTGGCATATTTTACAATGGCCAAAAGTGCTTTATGTGCCATATAGCACCATTCTGGATCCATAATGAATGGTTGTTAAGCAGTCTTATGTCAAGGACTACCTGTAGAGAGCATGAACAACGTATCTTTGGGAATCTTTGAAGTATCAGAGTTGTCTGTAATGTTTTATTAGTTTGGTTTGGCTGACAACAACTTCTAATTCTAAGAAGAAAAACCTAAAGTAAGCCATGGATCTTTCTAAACTTGTTCTGGGAAGCATGGATCGGAGTCATTGCCTAATGAAAACAGAACTATAAAACACACCAGCAGTAAGCACTGGAGAGCCATTTCAGCCATTTCTGACCAGCTATATATTTTTTTAAAAAGTATAAAATTCATACTGGTTCATATATTAATTTATCAACGTTTCAATCTAAGTACATCAATATGCAGAATCTTTAAATAAATTGGATGGAGTTAAAGGGCTAAACAGAAAGATGTGCTCATACCAGGCCACTCTTCTTCTATCACATCTATCATTCCCATCCCATTTTAAGCTACTTTTGATACTATTTTTAGAGTAGTATTAAATGCAACACGAGAAAGCCCAATTGAAAAACAAAATGGAACTAAGTCAGTGTTTCTCAACCTTGTCAATTTTAAGGCATGTGGACTTCAACTCCCAGAATTCCACAGCCAGCATTGCTGGCTGTGGAATTCTGGGAGTTGAAGTCCACATGCCTTAAAATTGACAAGGTTGAGAAACACTGAACTAAGTGCTTTCAGCTTATGCCTAGATCTGATGTGTTGATTCTCTAATCCAGTTCATATTTGCTAGCAGTTTTTCACTAGGTCAGTCTTCTCTTTCAATATCTCGTCTAGATCTACAATGCAAATGCTCAAGCATTATTTTTTTTTTAACTTTTCAGCTATGTTAATGGCTTGGCCTAAGTACTAAGGAAATTAACCTTCCTTAAAATGTTTTCTTATTTAAGCAGCGGATTAGCAGAAATCAAATGAAACGAGCTCAGAAATGGTTAGCAAAGAAAACGTCAGTATTTGTACAAAGCAAGTGACAATAGAGGAAAAATTACCTGCATTCCCCACTGTGCCATTGTTCACCAGTGAGCTTAGAGTCACAGGGTTGTGCCAGGGTCCCTCATGAGAAGTGCTGGGGATTCCCACAGGCCTGGCAGCAGGCTGTGCAAAGATGATACTAGGATCATTCAAGCTTATGGTGCTCGGATTATTGGGTGGGTTGCTGCTGCCAGCTCTCACCGAAAATGGAACGGTTGTTGCGTGAGGAGGATTACCCGGTGCAGAGTGAATAACAGGCCAGGAGGTGTTAGGAAATGGAATTTGGTGATGGTGGGGCATTTGAAATACCCCCAAATTAGGCAAGGTGGAATACTGACCTGGGGGAGAGTGGGCAAAGTTAAACAAAGGCAGCTGGACCTGGTGAGGTGGCTGTGCCCCTTGTTGGGGCGGCAGAGTGTGTTTAGACTGGGATACTGATTGAGGCGGAGGCTGATTAATGGAGGCTGGTGGAGAGGAATTCTGGGTAAACTGCTGAGGCTGTGGAGAGTAAGATGACTGATGCGAATCAGACTAGAGAAGGGGGAAAAAAAGGATTGGGTTTGGATTAGTTTACCAGTTAAGTGAGCCACTGAGCTCCTGACAATTAAAAGGTTACCACAAAGGAACTTTTACAACCCCATTTTAAATGTTTCAGCTCAAGAAAATAAACAAAAGGTAGTCTTTGACTTACGACCACAATTGGGATCAGAATTTGGATTGACCGAACAGAGCAGTAAGCAAGATGCCATGTGATGTCATTTAATAACCATAATCCTGGCGTTCCAGGTTGTGGTCATAAAGCAATCTCGTGGGTTTTTAATGGACAAAGTCCCAGCTAAAGAATTCAGTGTCTCAGGAGGGTAGGGAAAAATCCCGTGAGACACTGTCTGGCTCTGACAATTCTTCATGCAAGCAGGATTTTCAGTGCCAGAACAGAGAGACATTGGCAGGTTTGCCTTCGCCATGCCGCCCAGGGCTCCTTGAACTCCTTATATTACTACTGTGGCACCTGCTAAAATCCAAGCATGCAATTTGTTTAGGAGCAACAGGCATTCAACAAAATAAGTTTGTAAAGGAGCCTCATTTCCCAGCAAAGAAACAGTCCAAGGACCTGCTTCCTTTGGAGGAATCTGCTTGATAGTGCGTGGAAGGAAAGGAAGGGGAGGAAGGAGATTGGCTGCAAGATGAAGAGAAAAAAGGAAAAGGGAGAAGAAGCATGTTTTATCGAACTTTTCCTCTCCCATCTCCCTCCTGCTCTGCCATGTCTTTCCTGCCATCCACGCTACAGGCACACGTGTTATTCCGGGGGAGGGGGGGAGAACTGGCATTATGCGGTAGTTACTGTATCTTTGGAAACCCCCTCACCCCAACTGTTTTTTTGGTGGAAAATGAGATTCCTTTGAAAACTTATTTTAGTGAATTTCCACAGCTCCTAAGCCAGTGATGGCGAACCTTTTAGAGACTGAGTGCCCAAACTGCAACCCAAAACCCACTTATGCATCCTCGAGTGCCGGGTGGGTGTGACCAATTGGGTGGGCGTGGCCTATTGGGTGGGCGTGGCTGCAGTGGTAACAGCAGACTGGGTGGGACTAAAAAGTTCAATCAATCAATTCCAACTTTGCAAGATCTTTTTTTTTCTGTGAGAAGTTGAAATTGACTGATTGAACCTTTTTTTTTTTGCACACGACGGCAGAGGCCTAAAGCGAAAAAGTTTTATAAAACCCAGCTGAAGGCCTAGGACTGGGGCGACGGCGCGCGTGCCCACAGAGAGGGCTCTGAGTGCCGCCTCTGGCACCCGTGCCATAGGTTCGCCACCACTGTCCTAAGCAGTCTTGCACACGGAGGTTTAGTGCGCTTAGATTTTGGCAGGTGCCAGAAAGGAGAGGCAGCAGTAATATAAGGAGCCTGGGCTGCCTCAAGCAGGTAAGGGAAGCCCTGGGAGGCCTATCCACAGGTTTGTACTCAAGTATCTTTCTGCTCTGGCACTGAAAATCTTTCTTCCTGAAATCCAAGTGGAAAGCACTGAGTTCCTGGAAAAACCAGTGGGAAGATTGAAAATGGAGATCACAGGAGTGTCTGGCGCTTGATAATCAACGTGTGAACAGATTGCTAACTACAAAGATTGCAATGACGTGATGGCAGCAGGGAGTGTGACATTTTGTTATGGTCAGGAGTGCTTTATGCCCCTTCTTAGGCCATCATAACTTCAAATAGTCATTAAGCAACCGGTTGTAAGTCGAGGACTACTATAAATTGTTCCACTAGTTCGAGTTTTGTATATAAGGTTTCTAACAGAAGACTTATCTTACATACTCTTCTGATTAAGTCCTCTTTTAAATACCACTAAAGTAAAACATGTAGCTATAAACATGACCTTTAATTTTCATACTGCAGTAGCATATTCATTAATTCAACTGTTCAATTACCAAATAAAAGCCTTAATCTGTGATTTCTGAATTTGCGTGTGTGTATAATAGATTAAATAAGAGAGCTATAAATATGGGAAAGCAAACTATTGACCTGTCCACCAGGTGTTTCATTGTAAGAATCATCATAAGTACTCATAACTACTGTTGCTATAGTTTTTTATATACTGTCGATACTTGCTACTTATACAAAACCTATTCATAAAAACATTGAAAATACAACTTACACATTCTGATGGTTGTCTAGTACGTGAGGGTCTTTCCACCTGCTGTGGAATTGATCCAGTTACTTGCTGTGAATTTACCAAGCTTCTGACTAATTGAGAGGCTAAATGATAAAATATAAAGAATGTATAGTGTAATTTAAATTAAGCGATCAAATTTCAAATAAATAATGTATGTGCAAAGAAAGGCACATTTACAACCAGAATTTTATCTATGGCTCTTCAGCAGCAGTGCTTTATGCTAGGGATAAATCATAACAAACAAGTGTTTTCCTACCTTTAGGGAAAATTACTACTGCACAACTTGTAATATTCTTAATTTCTACTTGTCTGGATCCTTCATTCTTAAATTACCAATTATAAATCTTCATTTATTAAATTGTTTACAGCAAGATTTTACTAAATTCAAGTTGTCAAGTTAACAAAATTTCCTTTCTGAAATTGTTTTTGAAAAAATATAGGGAAGAAGAGCTGCTAAATAAGCATCATGAGGGGCTTTGAAGAATGACAGACCTCAAGAAGTTACAACTAGAATATGGCTATAAATTATTATTACAAGTCATGTAATAATGGAGCATAAGAAAAAGGCTAAATATAAAGCAAAATACAGACCTACATTTCAACAGTGTTGGCTGATAATCATGTATTTAGTTTGTAAAATGTTTAGGGGAAAAAACTGTCCAGAATAATTATCAAATATTAGGTGGAAAAAATAATTTAAAACAGGGAGGAGAAATCTTTTTCCCATTTAATCCAAATACAATTGCAATAATTAATTTTGTTATTAACTGACTGCATTACATTCTTTACTGTATTATAAATAAGATGAACAAAATACATTGCTTTGGTATTATCCTTCCTGAAACTCACACTACTTAGATTTAAATAACTATTGATTAATTAGAAAATAATTATCTATTTCAAAGAAGTTAGCTACTGTAGGTGTACATCTGTTTTTGCTATCATTGTAGGGCAATCGGATATCACAACTGGTAATGTTGAAACTCATCTTACCAACCATTTCTATGGGTGGCAAACTCTCCTGAAATTCCTGAGAGCCAATCAAAATTATGCATGGGCAGGGCTTTTTTTCAGCCGGAACGCGGCGGAACCGCGTTCCGGCACCTTTTTCCGGGCCGGCCGCACCGGGCGCAACATCTGGGGGGGCGCGCTCGCACTCGCAGCTCTCTGCCCCTGCCTGGCTCACAACCGCGGCCATAGGGAGGCTCGGTCGGCGCGCCCCTGGCCCGTTTCCTAGGCGACCCTGCCCGAGCNGGAGAAGAGGACGCTGGCCAACATGCTGCCGTTCGGGCGCCAATCAGCAGGCGGACTGGAGCAGAGGAGGGCGGGGTTTCCCACCAAGCGCGGGAAATAGGCTAAGGTTATAGCCCCTCCCAAATTTTACTTGCATTCCTGTTCTCTAAAGGGGCGGTCCTAGGGTTTGATGAGGGCGTGGCCAGGTTTGGGTGGGGGCATGGCCAGGGGAGGGAGGTGAGTTCCACCACCTTTTCTCTGAGAAAAAAAGCCCTGTGCATGGGCCTTTATGAACAACTATCTTAGCAAAAATCAGGCTTTTGGGATCCATCAGACAAAAGTGAAAAAACAGAACTGGTTAATATAGGATACAAAAAAGGAAACTGGAGAATCTATTTTACCTGCCAAACCATTGCTTCTTTGTCTGGTCTGCTTGAATTCAGGACAATCTCTTCTAACGTGTCCCATGTCACCACACATAAAACATCTCTTTTCTCTGGTATCTCTTTCTTCTTCCTTTAGTTCCTTTTCATCATCTCTTTCATTCTCTTTTTTCTTTATCCTTCAGAAGAAAAAATATGAAAGATATGCTTTACGGTATCCTTGAAAAGTATGACACAATGTGAAAAAAATATTTTTAAAAGGACAACAAGAGGATGTAAGTGCAAAGAAAAAAGAGGGAAAGAATATTTTGAAGATTTCAGGCTCATTTTATGAAGGAGAGAAGTACTGTATATGTTTTTACTAACCTTCTTCTTTTAGGGCAGTCCTTCATATAGTGGCCAATTTTGCCACAGACACGACAGCACCTGTCATTTGGGGCCAGTTCTCCATCAGTTAATACTTTGGAATTGAAAAAATATTCCTGAAAGAGTTGGAAACATGTTCATTTTCCAGTAAGACAGCACAGGTAATAATACTTTTACATCTTACTAATGAAGTCATTCATTATGGAGAAAAGTGTTCCAACCAGGTATTCGAAACTTTAGTGAACAGTGAATATGTTCCTATTTTTGTTTTGTTTTTTTCCATGTGTGTATCTCTCTGTGTGTATATGCATATAACTATATCAAACTTTTACTGGCTTGCATTTCCAAGATAGCATGCACTTCTAAATAGTGTATGGATGGATGATTGGATCGATCTGCAGCCAAAGCAAAGATCCATTTAAAAGAAAATTTTAGGATTTGCAGAACAATTATTTTAATGATTTCATGAATGAAGAAATAAAACATAGAAAAAGAGTACTGAGAAAAGCATTCTATTAAGTACGACCTGCTCTACCAGCATAACACATACATCTTCAAACCAATTAAATGGAATAGATAGTGCAAACTAAAATTTAATGTATCTAAAATATCCTACAGCACTACAATAAAAATACTTGCTCATTTGTAATAAGGCAGAAGAAAGGAGAACTTACAGCTTCTCTTCCTGAGATTGGATAATAAGGGGTACCAAATAACTTTCTCCCGTTGATTAATGCTTTCATTATGAAATTGGTCACTTTGGATTTAAAAAAAAAAGACATTTTTTTTTTAAAAAGCAGTATTAATTTTGAAGTTCATTCAGTTGAATGATACTTTTTATGTACTTACTTTTTCTAGAAACTCCTGCACCAAGATTATGATTCAGGTCAAAGGGATCTGAGCAATAGGCAATAACAAAAAAATTAAGAGAGGATTTTTTTAAAAAAGGAAGTAACGCACATATTTCTTTATAAAAACTACAGATGCAGTATAAGTTGCTTTCAAATATGTTAGCATAATGTAATTTAAATAGGAAGATTCTTCAGAAGAACAAATTAATTTATTAAACAAGAAATATGCAATAACTACCTTCAATAGCAATGCATTTGGATGTCCATTGTTTCTCAAATGTGGTTAACAGCTTTTTCTGCCGAATGCTGATGACATATTCTTTGAAATCAAATTCTTCAGTGTAAAATCTCAGTAATCCTAACCAGAGTTCTCCCAGTGACTCTGTGTTTTTCCCAAGAGAAGGTAAACGTTTTTTCTGTATAAAAGTTATAGCAGTAAACATGTAAGAGAACAACTTTTTCTAAAGTAAATGTAACAGTTTTAACCAGAAAGCTTCTAAAGTAGCACAGTGCAAAATCTTTACTGCTGTCCTTTACGATTATCTATTAACAGGGTAGGAGGAAAAGGGGTTAAGGTACCAGGCTAGAAAGCCAGAGACTCTGAGTTCTAGTCCCGCCTTAACCATGAAAATCAGTTGGGTGACAATGGGCCAGTCAATCTCTCTCAGCCCAACTCACCTCACAGGGTTGTTGTAGGGAAAATAAGAGGAGATGGTGTGTTGGATATGTTCACCTCCTTGAGTTATTAGCAAAAATAACAAAGGGGGAGGGATACAAATAAATACAAGTATTTTCTCTACAAAATTCTCTACTTATGCAAACTCAAAGTAACAGTTCCTTTCCTAATGATCTTATTATGATAAGAGACAAAGTATTTCTTGGATGAAACATGCATTTGTTTTGAAAAGGAAATCACTGCCTAAAATACGATACAGAGATGCTGATTACAATATCTCTTCTGTGGTAGCCCCAGGTTGCTATATTGACATTAAAAAAATAAACACAATTTTTCCCTTAAAAAAAAGAACACGAAACCCCAGAGGAAGCAGGTAAGCTTCACTGATCTTCACTACAAAAATAGCAAAGACTCTTATTACTGGTCCACTTCTAATACTTCCCATATTACCTCAGCCACTTTGTCCAACAATAAAAGACTGGGGAAAAAGTTCCTTTTTTAGTTTACAGAACGGCAAATATATTGCTGCCAGAGTTTACATAGTATAATTAAAGCAGACCTAAGCATTAATTGATTATTCCAAAATGAGGATTTTACCAATTCTTCGGTGTCATCAAAGAAGAAAGCATTCCAACCATCAACCATCCTTTGAGGGATCTGCTGCCCATCAAATATCTATAACACATGAAAAATAAAAGCAGAAAATTATGAAAACTAAAAGCATTCCAAATACAGAAATGTTTTTTTAAAAAAATACGCATTGCTTATCTGATTCTTTCTAAAACTACGAATAATAAAAGAACCTCTTCTCAAAATTTCAAGAAAACCATAAACCTCTGGGGCCCAGAATGCCAGACATATGCACCAGAATGGTGGGGGAAAGGTGATTTGATTGTGTTACTTAGTGGTAAGGGTAACAGAGCATATTTTTGCTAATAAAGAGACTTGGAGTATAAAAGGGTTATGAATCATACAACTTCATTTGATTTCAAAACTCAAGTTAAAATCAGATGCTTACCACCTTAGCAATAATAATAAAAACATAAATTTCTCTGCTTTTACATGTAGGTAACCAAGTCACTTCATAGATTTTGAACTATAATTCCACAGTACCTAATTAATAGCCAGTCTGACTAGGGTCTATGCAAACTAGTCCAAAATATCCAGATTATCTACTCCTGTTATAGATAATGTTCAGACTTTTGTTGAGAAGGAAGCTCTACATCTTTTGAGGAAAACTACTATACCACCCATGTGAAATGGCTAGGAAAAGATCCAAAGTTGATCCAGTAATTCTTCAAAAAGAATCCCAACCGACATTAATATCATAAGCAAATTATATCAAGAAAAGACAGGAATGTCAAAACTGTTTTCCATCCAGGTTTTTTTCCTTGAAAATTTACCTCTTGCAGTACTGGGATTACTGGTGGTTCTCTCTGTTGTAAGAAGTATAATACCATGAGAATGTAGGCATATGAAGAGAGACTTCCTCTGGATGCATCTCCAATATCACAACGCTGTTCAAACATTTTCAAGGCAATAAGCATATAGCAAGTTATTTTGGGTAACAAATACAACACCAGAATAGATACTAAGAAAAGACATTTTATGCCAATTCAAAGTATGTTTTCAGTAAAACATAACCAGAGTCAAATGCATACTGTTAACTGAAAATTCATACTTCAATTTAGGAATTTTGTTCTTGGAAGCAGCTAAGAAGGAACTACTAGGAGCATGAATGTCTCAAGAGAGTGTAGCAAAGCACAAGCCATATTATTTATGTATTTTATCCATAGATAAAAAAGTCCAGTCATTCACTTAAATGAGCAAAACTCCATGTGATCACTCACTTCAGGAACTGCTGATAAGCATACTCTAAATAATGTTTTCATGGTAAAACACATAGCACCCATCCCTTAGCAAACTTCCTACTCAGAATATTAAGGTAATATTATGGGAAATTTTGTCAAACATACATACCGGTACATATCACTTCCCCACAATTTATTTTAAAAAAAAAACTTTTACAGGGCTTGTTCCTAACAAATCCATGTTGGATTCTGGTATATACCACATTGTTTTCAAGAATAATCACGTTATAACCTTCCCAGATATTAATGTCAAAAAGCATGTTTCACTACTGAACACCTTTTTGAGAAATCAGTCATTTTTTAAAAAAAATATTATTCCTATATTTTCTTTTAATGAAAATAAAAACACTACTTTTATTCCATTCTTCCAGACAATGTCAAGTGTGCCATCATGTTCATTTTCTTGAATGTTATGTGCAGATGTGAATAACTGTTTACCATAGTAAATTTTCTTCTCTTTCTTATCAGAGAATTCTGCTAAGTCTTCTGAACTCTTTGGACAAAACTATATAGAAGCCCTTGTGTTTGAAGTCATTTTTTCTTTACTTAGGGATAATGGAGTTAGTAATATAGACAGATGTCGATATAGATGTATTTATGGTGGGTATAGTCATTTTCTCTATATAATTTAGATTGCTATTTTTGAGTATTGAATAAACCAATGCATATTTTTGTAGCTTGAATGACTAAGCTAGTTTCCCTAAATTCATGAACAGTTATTCTACCTACAGTAATTAATCTGTTTCCCAAATTAGTGCCCTTAGAGTGTAAGTTTGCATATGCATGTAAAAGGACATCACGTATGCAAATTGCTAAAAGGCCTGCTTTGGATCCTGATTTTGATAGATTTCATTTTGCTTAAGCTCCTGATCTAGATACTAGCAGTCTATTAAACTATGTCAAAAGGCAATCAATAATAATAATAATAATAATAATAATAATAATAATAATAATAATAATAATAATAATAATAATAATAATACCACCACCTCTACATTTCAAGGCTAAAATAATAATTATCTATAATTTGGATTCATAAGAAAAGTTTGCAAATAACAGGCTTTGTACAAGGTGAAAAAATGTGGCCAATGTGTGTTGTTTGTATTGTGTTATTTTAATATGCTGTGAGCCGCCCTGAGTCCCGTGGGGAGAAGGGCGGCATATAAATTATGAAATAAATAAATAAAATAAATACACAACTCACTACCATCACTTTATTGAGACTTTTTTTTTTGCATTTTCAGGAGTTTTAACGGGAACAGTTAACCCTTGATGGTTTCTAAGCTATCCATTTAACTACTTAAAGTTCCCAAACCCCACTCTTAAAATGGGGTTAGAATTTGGCCCTTGATATGTTGTTGAAGCCAAATGAATCTGTGACACTCACTAGTGAATCTAAATCCAATTGAGATGCAACTGTACTAGCTTTCAACAATTCAGCAGAGCAGTCACCATATCTCTTAGTGCATTTAAAAAATAACCAGTATTTGAATAAGCCTCAACTGTTTGGTGGAGGAATGCTGAATATAGACAGCTTGTATTTTAAAATCGCATCATTATTGCATTTACCTTTGCAAAAACTTTCATAGTGTATCCCAAATATTGCACTCTTGGATCAATGGCTGCATAAGTTGCAAGCATTCTTGTGTTATGCTGTGCCTAGAAAACAAGTATATCAGACCATATTCAATAGAATAACATTAAGGTGTAATTCATTATACAGATCATGTAATAGCTGAGACCAGAGAGGTAGGAACTAGTAGTTCCTAGGATACAGAGGGACCCTGCCAGGGTCTAATTCATTACTGGAAACTATTTTCCCTCACTCTGGTTTGTTCTGTTTTCCCCACTGGAAATGGCTGTTTGCAACACATAAGGAGGCGATACTTTCCTAAGAGTTCACAATTCAAGAATACCAATGTTAACTTGGGATTGCCATACAGGTGCTGGTGGAAGGGGTGGTGGCACTGATCTACAATCTGGTAGCGTCCATCAAAGCCAGAATGCGCTCAGCCATAGATCCACAAGGATCTAAGCAAGGAGAACCAACGAGGAGCCGCCCTGCCGCCTCTACCCCGGGTGAGCGCACAAGAGAGCCAGTGCTGCGTCCCGGGTGAAGTCAGCCTGCGGGGCAAGACAGCCAGCAGGGACACTGGACTCCACTTGGGGGTGCCCGTCACTGGTTCCAGGGCTGCCCTGTGGATCTAAGGCTGAGCACGTTCTGGCTTTGATGGCTGACACCAAGTTGTAGATCAGTGCCTAGTCGGCCTGGGCCGGACCAAGGTGCTGTGGGCCGGTCCTTCGCTGTTTCCAAAACAGGTCCCTGGGCCAGATGGAACCACATGGCGGGCTGGATTCAGCCCGCGGGCCTTGTGCGACATGTCTGTGCTAGAATGTACACATGTCAACCCCTTATCAATAATAATATTCCCTAATAATCTCTTTTTCACTTCAATTTTCAATCAAGATATTAAATACTACTTGCAATTTTTAGCTTATGTAGAATTAGGATGGTCAGCCAAAACTTCACTGAAAGATACTTGCCAGTGTGTTATATAAGCTGATATCACCTTCTAAGCCACTTTGTCTGTGTTCAAATTTTACAATAGGCACTTTGGCTGTTGTTATAGGCAGAATGTTTCTTAAACCTGCAAAGGTAAGCAATACTTCTTAAAACTAAGAATGCTAAATACTATGTAAAACTAAACAAAACGTATAAAATATTATTCAATATGCAGTACCCTAATCTTACCTGGATGTTTCTTAAGAACTTTTGCCAAGCTTTCAATAATTTCCTTACAATTTAATTTCTGGAGAAAATGAATAAAAGCACTGTTATTATTATTTACAACATGCTACAAATACTTCCAAGAGCAAAAGTATGCAAACCTATTTCAAAAGAACTACCTCTGCATTTTCATAGCCTTCTAGAGTCATGCAGATATCCAGGTCACTATCGCGGAATCCAAATCCATTCTTTGAAGAGCCAAACAGGCACAGCCTGGCCTTGTCTGAGCAAAATAAAGAGAGAAAGAGATGCCCATAATGGAGAAAACACTTTCAGAGTCAAAAGAATTCATACTCTTATGAATTCCAATGTAACTTACAATGGTTGTTTATAAGCAGTCACTTTTTCCTATGATCCAATGCATGCTCTAACACATTTAAATATATTTAAATATATCTTTTAATTTATTTTAAATTTTGTATATTTGTACCAATTGTTCTGTTTTTTAACTGGCTGTAAGCCGCCCTGAGTCCACCAGGAGAAGGGCGGGATACAAATACAATAAACTTCAAACTTCAAACATGGGTGTCAAACTGCCGACCCACAGGCCAGACGCATCACATGGAAGCCGCACCCACCCCATTGCTGGCAATGGCAAAACCGGCCCGATACGTTGCGCGACATCACGCGATGTCGCGAGTTTGACATTCTGCTCTAACACAACGGTCCCCAAACTTTCCGGCTCTATGGATTGGCGGGGGCAGCGGCACCACTGCAGCGGTGGAGACGGGATGGTTGCTTGCACAAATGCAGCTTTGCACATGCACGCGTGCTCACCCACTGCTTGCATGGCCCAGTTCCCAACAGCACATACTGGTATCAGGCCAGGGACCGGGTTTGGGGATCCCTGCTCTAACATCTATGAATATTTGATTATGAACTGAAATTCATGTTTGCTTAATTAATCATGCATATACAATAGTACTGTAAACTATCTCAGAATAATCTTAATCTACAATACTTAGTGATCAAACAAATGCATTTAAAATGCAAAATGCAGGCACAATTGAGCCTTAAATATACACACATTTGAGCCTTGAAAATATGACTGTTTTACCTAGTTACTTTTCAAGTTAGTGTACACATGCAGCGATCTAAAGGTTAAAGGTTGAAGTACAGGGCATTAAGGTGCTATTATACAGGTAGATACAGACATCTTAATGCTTTAGAATTATTACTGTGTTGTCAAGGCAACATATATTTCTAAGAAGATAATGTTGGACTGCATCCAATATGGTGCAAATATATTTTCTTCTCATGCCATGGAAATATCCTTTCCTTTCTTTCACCTAAGCCCTCCACAATCCACTTTAAATCTACACCGAAACATCTTCCAGTCCTTAAGAACAAGTCCATTTCACCAGAAGGTGAACAGAATTTGATATAACTAGTTTAATATTAATTTATTAGACCAGGCTTCACAAAATCAGTCAAAAGTCCACTGAAATCAGTGGAAATTGTAGTGTTCATTATTAATATGGCTAGATCTAAATACAATTTTATTTATTTAATATTTGTGGTAAAACACCTTAGAATCTCTTCTAAGATGAAAATATTGTACACTTTAACATAAAATTTTGTTGACATAAAGATTTCTTATTATATACCATTATATTCTTTCCGAATGAACCTTTCCAAACTTGCCAGAATCTGCTCTCGATTTTGTTGTTCTGGGAAAGGAGGTGACAATTCATCTAGACAAATAAAAAAACAATTGAGGCATTTGGCAATATCTAAAGCCAAGCATAAGTTATCTTTAAATTAATTCTTCTATGAACATGTACAACAACTCTGTATTATTTACAATATTTTACGAGGGTTTCATAAAACACTCATTTGCAACCTCTCATTTTTCTCATTGTTTTCTTACATCTTTTTTTCTCTCTCAAAAAAAAAATCATTTTTAGGATTACGAAATCTGGTAGTTTCAAATGTATCCTTGACATTTTTATAAACCTTATTGTCAGATACACGGCAAAGTCCAAACTGTCATGTTTACCTTAATGTGAATAGAAGCACAGGATCCTGTGCTATTGATGATAGTACATACATTTATTTCCACTGAGTTAAGTTAAAATCTCATAATAATGTGGGCCTCCAAAGCACTTACCAAAGCACCTTTTACATACAAGATCAAGTATTTCTCTGAATCTAATTGTCATTGGTGGTAGTGGGTTTAAATCAATTTTCTTAAAATCTTCTGGGCAATCACTTTTGGAATGGCCATCCCTTTTGCAGATACTGCATACTATAGTTGGAGGCTATGAAAAAAAACACAAAATAATAGTATTTTACAGTTTAGGGTGTGTTATTTCTCTAAACAGTATGTGTCAATTTATGTTATGTGGGTGTGATAGTGGAAATACCGTATTTTTCGCACCATAAGACGCACCTGACCATAAGACGCACATCGTTTTTAGAGGACAAAAAAAAAGAAAAAAAATATTCTAACCGGCGGCGGCGCGGTCGGGTAGGCGGCGGCGGGGNGGGGCGTTCGGGAGGCGGCGGCGGCAGCGCGGAAGGGAGGCGGCATTCGCTCCATAAGACGCACAGACATTTTCCCCCATCTTTTTTTGGGGGGAAAGTGCATCTTATAGAGCGAAAAATACGGTATGTTGTTGTATAGTTCAGTAAGAAAATTAAAATTAAAGAAATGAAGCAATTAAATAAAATACAAAACGACATTTGTTTTTATTTTACCTTTCCAGAAGTCAAAATAAATTTATCGAACACATAATGCATGTCTTCTGTGGTGACTTCATCTCTAGTGTCTTGAGTTTCCTCTGCTGCTTTGCAATCCTGCGAGGTAGCTGGTAAGCTAGTGCCTGAGCACAGGCTATCTGTTGGATATTCCATTACTGAATCCAGTCTTTCAGTGTCAGATAATCCACTAACAGAATCTGTATCAAGGGGTTTATGTTCATTAAAAACACAACAGTGGCTTAGTTTATCTTCAGCTGAAAGCTCTTGATCATCCTTTCTTTTAAGTGATTTTTCTTCTAATTCACAGCATTCATTAGTAATAAACGATATCGTTTCTTCTCTATCTCCAGAGTCTGTGTTTATAATTTCTGAGTTTACTAAAGAGCTTTTAGGTTTCTCAGTACATCTCCTAGTCATAGATTCCATTTCATTACATTCATTAAATTTACACTCCTGTAAATCACATCCATGACCTGGTTTATGTTTTCCTGTAATATTGGCCTGCTGTGGAAGGCAACAGTTGATTACAGGTTCTCCAGTTCTTTTGCTACCTATTTTTCCTTTTTCTTTTTTCTTGGTATCTGGTTTGGGCTGAGTCTCATCTTTACTCTGCGGACATGCAAAGTATTTATACGCTGTCCTGAACCTCTCCAGGATGTATTCAAACACCATCTGGCTGTTCAGACTCCGTGCAACATTTCTTTTTAGTGCAAAGGGATCTAAGAAAAAGGAAATGACGTAAATTAGATATTGCTTTAAACTAGGAATTTCAAATATGAAGTCAATATACTGCCTTTTAAATAGACCTGTTACATTTTAGTTGTTTGACTGTTGAAAACATTTATCCTATCATAAAATTGCCTTCAAGTAATCAGATTATTTTTACAAGATGATTATTTTAAAATAAATACTTCTAAAATAATCAGATGTCAACTGTCATCTAAAAAGAATAGGAACAAGCTTTTTTAAAAAAAATTAAAAAATAAAGCAATTATTGTCATTTTCAGAATATTTTTCATATCTACTTTTATGAGTTTAATCAACTCTATAAATACCCACGGGTTTTAAAAATTAAGTGATAACATAATACAAAACATATTTCATCTATAGATCATATGCAAACAAGTTTTCTTCTTGAATCTTCTTTGTTACAATGTTAATTCATGAAAAACAAAGAACAAAACAACAAAGAAAGGCTCCTTAGTATGTGCACTCAACCATTTCCTTTTTGGTATTATTTCTACAGTAACATCAAAGCATGAGGAAAAGGGAATGGAGTAGGCCTTGTCAACAATGATTTATAGCAGTGTTTCTCAACCTTGACAATTTTAAGGCGTGTGGACTTCAACTCCCAGAATTCCACAGCCAGCAATGCTGGCTGTGGAATTCTGGGAGTTGAAGTCCACACGCCTTAAAATTGTCAAGGTTGAGAAACACTGATTTATAGCAACCTAACATTATTCTCTATAAATATGATCTGTTTAGTTAGAGAGACAATTAAATGCAATTCACTGTAAGCCTTTAAATTAAGCCTTTTACTTATGTCAAGAACGCAAATACCACAGATACATTTAAAAACTGTAGTTATTATAGCATACTTCAGTGTTTTATATATATGCAAAATCAGGTAAATAAGGCAACTGGTAAATCATTTACAAGAACTTTTACAAAATGCAATGCCCTACCTTCAATGGCTATTCGCCTTTTGGGCCAGTTCTTGTTTTCTCTGGTTAAAAGTTCTTGTACCCGTATGCTGATAACATATTCTTCCAAAGCAAATTCCAGTGTATAAAACTTCAACAATTCTAACCAAAGTTGTCCCAGAGATATCTGGTGTGGTGTTTCCAATGACAATGGAGACTGAAAGAAACGGGGGGAAATAAAAAAGCTTAACCTGTTTTATTCTCAGCGCTTAACTTGTTTTATTCTCAGGTCATTAAATGAAAAGAGTACTAATAAAAAGAGCACTTTGCGATTAAAAGGAATCACTTACATGGCCTTTTTTCTCCTTTGGATTATTTTGGATGTTTGGCTCCATGGCTGCTGTAGTCTTGTTACCATTTCTGTGCTGGTCTCCTTTAGATTTGCCTTCTACAGTATTCACATTTTTCCCTGCTCCATTATTTGATAGTTTGTATTCCCACACTACAAACTTTTTATCTTTTATTCCCTTCAGTTGGTAATCATCAGCCTTCTTAGAATCAAAGCCTTCAATCTAAAGAAACAAGGTGCTTTTCATATGTAATCTTATAAATTTTATAAGATGAACAGGTATATTATACTATGAACGATAGCTATATCTAGTTCTGATTATGAATCCAAAAGCTTCTTTAGGAACTTTCCCAAGAAGTTTTGAGTAATTCCTTTGTGCCACTGAATAAATCATATGGTCGAGTTAAAAGCTTACCCAGTTGCCTAAATATGATGGTAGGATACGTGGTTCTCTTTGTTGAAGGAAAAATATTACCATTAAGGCAAAGGAATATGAAGGGATTCCACCTTCTGCCTGGCAGTCAATATGACACAACTATAAAAAAGAGGAAATTATGTATATTTTTAGTTTTTTATCATAACAATATTTAGTATTTAGTAAGCAACACGTTGTCTGGGTTTACATATTTAACGTTAATAGTAATACAGTTTCCATTCTTACCCTTTATTCCATTTCTAACCATTTATAAAAAGTTTCCCCAACCTTTCCAGATTTGTGGACTAATGGGGGGGGAGGGGATGGTTCCGTGTGAGCGGTGAGCAAGCACGTGCATGCAGCTCCATTTGCATGAGGAGTGGGCACGCAAGCCTGCAACTTTCAAAATGATGTGCTCATGCACATGCTCACCCACTGCTTGCACAAATGGGGATGTGCATGCGTGTGTGCACGCTCGCTCACCACACCCACAGCCCAATTACGAACGGCTCAAGGCCTGGGTAGTGGGCCATGGCCCAGGGGTTGGGGACCCCTGATATACAGTCTATATGCACCTAAATTCAAAAATGGGGGGGAGAAGCTGAATATAAAAAGCAAAACAAATATAGATACATCTGTAATCTACAAACCTGACCAAGGTAATAAGAATGTAACATTTAAATAACACGTTTTCTTAACCAAACCTGAAAGAAAACTAAACATTTAACTAGAAAAAATAAAAATGAACAAATGGAATGTCATTACATAAGCAAGAATTAAGTAGAAGGCACTCATTAAATTTAGCATTCAGGAGTTGGAGTTATATTGTGTTGCTTAGCAATGGCAATTCCAGTTCCAGTTCCAGTTGTTAAACAAGAACCATATTAGTTGTTAAACAAGGACCTCATGTGACCATGATGTCTTACTCCTGATTGGTCTCTCACTGACTTTGCTTTTGGGAGTTGGCACAGAAGGTTGGAAACTGTGATCACATAATCATAGCTCACTGCAATATTATAATTGTGAGTTGGGTGCTGAGCACCTGGACCATGATTACGTAAGTGCAGAAATGATGCAATGGCTGGAACTCAAAGAGTTAGCTGTAAATACCATTCGTTCCGCTCCTTCATAATATTGAACAGCCTTATATATTTCCTGTCTGCTTTACCCAGGAAGGTTGACCTTAGTGACCTTCTATCTATAGTGGTGGATGAGGCTGCACTACCGTATTCACATCTTGTGTGCAATCTGGTGGCTGCCTTAGACTCAACAGCTCCTGCTCAAAGAGCAGGTGATAGTTGTGGCCATGAGGGCTTTAGAACATTGGCACCGGTTCTTTCAGATGGGGACTCTCATGTTCTCATCACGTTCAGTTACTGCAGTACACTCTGTATGTCCTTGAAGATCATTTGAAAGCTAAAACTGGTCCAAAATGCAAAGGGACGAGGATGGGCATGCCTCAGTAAAACCCTTTATGGCATCAGCCCTGGTTATTTGAACAAGTGCTTATCTTCCCAGTCCTTAAAAACTGGATATTTTCCAAGGTTCTAGAGAAGGCTGGCTACTGAGTCTGTCAGGTGTATTTTGTGCAATCCTTGGAATTTACATTTGGACGTATATTATTTAACTGTTTTTTATTTTTTATCATATAAGCCATGCAAAGTTCATCTGGAATTAAGTGGCCATAAATGGAATGGATAGATAAATATATAATTAAAAGTGCTGAAGTTTACTAAAGATTAATTTTATCTATTTATTTACAAATATTGATTGAATATATTTTGAAGATACCGTGTGTGTTTTGACAGAAGTTGAAGACAAATTCAATCATTGATTACATTTCCAATAGGAGGTGAATCTACCACTATATTTAATTGTTATAACACTGCTATGTATATTTTGATATCTAATTATTTGAGCTCTCAGATTATACATTTACCTTAACATTTGGGACATACAGATTTCATGAATTCATTATATTACTTCTGATACAAACCTGCCTTTCATAATATATTGTTGTATTCTGAGAGCACAAAAAGTTGAGCAGAGTTTTGTGCACATTGGGTTAGCCCTAATAAAAGTAATGCCTAAGTAATATTTTCAGAATTGTGAGGTGTGAACCACAGAACTTATTTTATCAACACTTTCTGACTCAAAGAGATTTTCTTCTAACAGAAATATATAACTAAAATGACTTTGTGTTATATTACTTACATTAGAATATCATCATTATATAAAGTACACGTAAAGAACAAATATATATATTTTAAAAACTTACTTTAGCCCAGTAGCGAAAAGCCAACACCAAAGGAACAAGGACTGGCTCTAGTTTGCCGAGTGCAGCTAGCAGGTCAGTTGTAAGGCAGGCCACATCATTTCCAGCACTTACTTTACAAGTTAAACCACTGACATTGAAACAAATTTGAGAGAAGGTATAAACTCTACCACTTCTTGTGAGTGAAATTTGAAACAAAAACCCCCAAAAACATTCAATATTTTTGTTTTACATATGCAATTTGCATTAATTTCTTTTCACAATGTAGTGTTCTCCCAGAAGATACTGAAATCTATTAGATATTGAAATTTATTTAATTATTTTAAAGTAACTTTAATGGAAAAATTATGAATGTATGCAGATCTGTTATTTAAAGTCAGCTTGCCATGTGCTTAATATTTTGTCCAAACTGTCATTGTTGTTTCTGAGAGTTATAAATATCAACAAATTGAGAAAATAAGTTTAAATTAAGTCCTTTGCAGTGCAAAATGTCCATCAACATTCAAACTTAAAGTGATATCTTAACCATTATCTTCTGAAGATGAACGTATACAAAAAAAATACACAAACCTTTTAACATCTTTACAAAAAACAACAGGAACTTTGGCATGGAAATCTGATTCCACATCAGAGTAAGATCCTGAAGGAGAAAATAGAGCATATCAAATAATAATCATTTTCATAGTATCTCCATGCTGATTGAAAGTCATCTGAGTAATACATATATATGTATATCTCTGTAAGATCCCCTTACTTTCTCCACAACAGATTACGAAGAAATTAAGAAAGAAATAATGAAGGTGCAGACTTACCAGTATTTTTTAAAATATCGAGCACTTGTATCAGAACATCTGGATGACTCATCTAAAATAATGAAGTTATTTATTATCACATTGATTCTATTTATTCTTACATTGAGTCTATTGAATACAATATCATTAATATCATCATGATAATACAAATGTGTTCCCCAATCCTGTTTCCTGGCAGAGTAAGAATATAGCATATTTTTGTATGTACAAACATGAAAATATATATACATTCAGAAATGTGGAGTTGTACACATTAACAACTTTAACAATGTTAACTCATGTGTCAGTCTTTTTCCTACTCAGCACACTACACAGAAAATTTGCTACACAGTTAAACTGGCATATAAACAGCAGGACCTAGGGTCTTTGCTAAGCCTAAAGGCGACAAAGTTTTCAGACAAATCTGTTCTGGGCCCAGTGCTTTTCAACATCTTCATCAACGATTTGGATGAGGGGATAGATGGGGAACTCATCAAATTTGCAGACGACACCAAGCTGGCAGGAATAGCCAACACTCCAGAAGACAGACTTAGGATACAGAAGGATCTGGACAGACTTGAACACTGGGCACTATCTAACAAAATGAAATTCAATGGTGAAAAAAGAAAGGTTCTACACATTTAGGTAAGAAAAACCAAATGTACAGGTATAGTATAGGGGGATTGTCATAGTGGACAATCACTTAAATATGAGCCATCAGTGTGCTGCAGCTGCCAAAAAGGCCAACACAGTGCTAGGCTGCATTAACAGAAGATAGAATCAAGATCACGTGAAGTTTTAATACCACTTTACGATGCCTTGGTAAGGCTACACTTGGAATACTGCATCCAGTTTTGGTCACCGCAATGTAAAAAAGATGTTGAGACTCTAGAAAGAGTACAGAGAAGAGCAGCAAAGATGATTAGGGGACTGGAGGCTAAAACATATAAGGAACGGTTGCTGGAATTGGGTATGTCTAGTTTAATGAAGAGAAGGACGAGGGGGGACATGATAGCAGTGTTCCAATACCTCAGGGGCTGCCACAAAGAAGAGGGAGTCAAGCTATTCTCCAAAGCACCGGA